ACAAAACAAAACGCCGGTCACGAATTAGAAGTACAAACCGAGGATTTGCAAAGAAAAATGTCGGAGGATTTCGATATAAGCCAAGAGGAGACTGGTTTTCCTTTGCTAAAATAAGGAAACTTTGCTTCATTTGCTCCTATTCGGTTGTTAAGTGGTGATTTGCAAAGATTCATTGCATTTCCTTCAGAAACAATAGTAACGTTAATTCACTGCGTCTTCAGTGGCTCAGATATCGGGAGTAAATGACGACTGCTATGTTCATTATTACATCCAACAACAGAACACCTCAATCGCTTAGGAGACATTCTTGTCTACATCTGCTCCGGCGTCGAAACAGTGGAGGGCTGAGGACAGCTCACTCAGGGCGGGTCTAAGGTAAAACGCCAGTGTCAATCAACAATCATGGGAGGGGCCTGTCCCCTGAGATCGGCTCGATTTGAGAAAGGGGAAATGATTTAACGAGACTAAAAAAAAAACACTGGGTGGATTTTTATCATTATAGGGCGGTTGTGTACACACACTGCCAACACACATTTCAGTTCAAACAACTTGTAAAAGTGCATGTTGTATCCAATGACCCCTTTAAGAAAAAAAAAACATTTTCGGGTATTTCTTTAATCTACAAACTGCTCTCAAAAGCTACAATTTCTCCAGTTACTCTGCTGTTTCAGAGTGGTTTTGGATAGATTTCCCTCCACACCACCTCCCTCACCGGCCACACAAAGCTCCTACTGTATACACATGCATATCCAACAGCTGAGGAAGCTTTTCCACTGAATATTTTCTCTCAGACACAAATGTCTGTCATTCAGCACAAGCCAGACTTGACTTTGAAACAGGGCTCAAGATTTCTTTCACACATAAGCATCGATGTCGTTAAGAGTCGATGTTCACAGGTAAATTACAGTCATACAAAGCCAATATGATGTCATTATCTTGAAAAGATCCTGTTCCTCAAGCCCCATGAGGGCCGCCGAATGATTCACTAGGGAAATCCACTCAGGTTTTCCAAAAGATCAAGTGTTTTCGACATAAAACCTCCCACAAAATTGGTGTGGCAGCCACAACTCTTAATAAAAACACTGTGGAATAAGTTGTGGGTATTACTGCAGCCAGTTAACACAAGCGTTGGCCAATTACAGACAATTAGCGGCCACTCGGCACGCAAGTGAAGCAGTCAGTAAAAGACCAAGTTTGACAGGAAATAACTTTGGAATTTGCATACCTAAAACTGTGCCACATCAAAATGTTATCTACAAATTCCTTTGCAATACAAAAATATACATCTTTACTTTTAAAAATAGTGTGTTGGAAAGAGAAACACTGGTAATATATCCCCAGAGATGCACTGCAAATGTTGTTCATACTTTCAGAATAAGGTCATGTTATGTGTAGCTTTTACAACGGCTCTTTTTACAGCCCCAGTCTTACCGTTTGGCAGGCAGTGACGGCCGTTGCCGTAGAATCCTGAGTTGCAGTGACAGCAGAAGCCAGTGGAATACTCTGTGCAGTGTGCGTTCTGACTGCACTGCTGCTGGAAGCGCTCACATGTCTCTTTATTATCGGTTGAGTAATGGATCACTGCAGGAGAGAGCGGAAAGAGAGACAAATTGCTCTTAAATAGGCTAGTAAAGTCAAACTCAGTCATAAGTCATAGGTTAACTTCTAGTACACAATCTTGAGTTCTCTCTGGATTGTTTAATAGATAAAACTGAATAATAGGAAGTCACAATACTGAGTCAAATAATATATGAATCAAATTAATTGTGCATTAAAAAAATGGCAGACTTATAATAATAATACTTGCATGCATGCCCATGTATGGGAATTTGAAAGTTTTTGTATTTAACTGAAATTCTTTTTGGCCATTAATGGTGTTTTGGAGAGAAGAGAAAAAAGAAATGATTTTGTTGGTGTAAATGCTCAGCAAATTATGTGTCCATTTGCAAATATTAAAGTATATTTTAATTTGCAAAGCTAAAAGTGGTCTTAAGTGATAAAAATGTATGTAATATTACTCAGTGTATAATAATTGTGGATATACTACTTGATAATTGCTAACAGTGTTATTTCAGTATTATTTATATACTATTATTAATATTTTGAGTTATCATTTTACATTTTTTACGTTTTTTTTTTTTAAACCGTACTAGATTTTAAGTTTTATTAATTTTATGTTGTCATTTGTTCTATTTAGTTTGTTGTTATTATTATTATAATATTTTTATTTTTACAGTACAATTATTAAGTATTTTTATTTTTATGTTTTGCCATTTGTTTAGTTTTTGTTTTTTCTATTTAGCTTTTTTTTCTTCATTTTTTATGTTCCCTTTTTTTATTCTTTTTTTGTGTACGTTTTTCATGTAATATTTATATTTCCTTTTAATTAGGTTTATTTCAATTATAGAAAATACATTATTAGTTTTAAAAACAACACTGGTATCTAAACACACTAAGTAACATAGATTAGAAATAAGCAAACGATGGCAACAGTTGCTAAAGTTCGATTGGTCAGTAACATTTTTAGGGTGGTGCTTAGCAAAGGTTCATTAAATATATTTCAGTATTGGTTATGGATCACAATCATTCAACTCTCACCTCCAGAGTCAAAGTCCACTTTCTCCTCAACACTGAACACTTGACCACCAGAAGGTGGGACATCCTTCACACGGTTTGGGTACACCTGCAGAATTGCGTGCTTTGGTAATGGCCACTGGGGCTGGGTCACGTCCTCCGGGGGAAGATTATGGGGATCCGGCTGAGGAAAATCACCTGGACCAGACTCTGAGGGCTGAGGGGGAGACTGACCAAGGGGCACCTCCTGGTTGAGACGCTCCAGTATTGAGGAGTCTTGCTCTGGCTCAAGAAACTCCGTTGTGGTGGGATCTTGGAAGTCAGGATCGATGGGATCATACTCTTCCTCATCTGTTTCTGTGTAGTCTTCATCAGGGAGCACAGCATCCAGGACTGGGGGAGCTTTGGTGAAAACAGCCTCATGCTGTGCAGGAACGACATTCTGGAAGGAATATCTGTTTCCAATGTGGAAGAGCCAAACTCCACGCTCTCCTATGTTTCCTTTTCTGAAGAGAGTTATAATATTACATTATAATATTATAATTTTAATCATGGCAATTAAAATTTAGTTTAAAATGAATCAAAGAAAAATCTTTAAATTACTGCTTTTATTTTATTATATAAATAAAATAAAATACAAACAAATATCTATTATAATATAATATCTAAATTTACAATATAATATAAAATATGTAACATTATTAATATAAATTCATAAATGTATATCAAATAAACATTTAATGTTCTGTTTTTCTGTGTTCATACACTATTGTAAGATTTTATTGTTTTTGTTTTTTTCAGCAAGGATGCATTAAATTGGTTAAAATTGACAGTAAAGACACTTATAATGTTACAAAAAACTTCAAATAAATGCTTTTTTTTTTCAACTTTCTATTCATTAAAGAATCTTGAACAAAAATGTATCATGGTTTTTACAAAATTCAGCACAACTTTGTAATATTCATAATATAATTCAGCATCAAATCAGCATCTTAGAATGATTTCTGAAGGTAAAAGTAATGACTGCTGATAATTCAGCTTTGCCACCACATTAATAAATTACATCTTAAAATATTAAAGTAGAAAACAGTAAAGTACAATTTCACATTGTAAAAACGCTTCTGTTTTTTGTTTTGGATTACATAAATACAGCCTTGGGGAGCAGGGTACGGTAGTGTATAAATACAATGTTTATGTTAGAAAACACACATATATTATGCAAACAAAAACGTTTATTTTGGATGCGATTAATCGTTTGACAGCACTAATTTTTATTTATGAAAAACACAAATGAATAACATTTAACAACAATCTAATAATAATATAATAACATTTTTTGTTTATTTCTGAGTAATTTTCTGTATTGTTTCCAAAAGAAAAAGTTATTTTATTTTACCAAAGCCCCATTTTAAAATAGTAATTCCTCTGATGCTTACTGGTAAAGGTTTTTGACGGACTGCTCATCACTGGTGACGCTGTAGTATGGCCCCTCTGTCCGGGAAAAGAAGAGGAAGGACAGCTCTCCTCTGGTGAAGCCCACACGAGCTGGAAGCTCAATTTCGACATAGTAAGATTCCTTGGGCCGTGTCCCAAAAAACTGCAGGCCATCCTCAGGGTATAGGAAGAGTGCATAAGTATCCTTCTCATTGTAGGCAAGCACCACTTGGAATGTGTTTACCTTGAAGAGAGAAGACCATTACTCCAGAATCTGTGCAGCACTTTAGAAGGTAATAAAACTTTCAAAACATATCACCTGTAAATATTCCATTATATACTGTAAATCTATCTAAAATAGTTTACTTAACTTCCTTCTCCTTACTTTTGGGCAAAGTGGTCTCTAAATGAGATTTGTTTTCTGTATATCTTAATCAGCACTGAAAACCTCTACCATCTAGAGCTTCAGCTGAAATCCAAATATGGTGTTTCTAACAACTTCACTGATTTTACAAGTCTAGTACCCACCATATGTGCCTCAGTACTGTCTCTTGCCCCCTTTTGTTGTTTTTCACACCTAGTTTTACTGCATTTAACAGATCACTAAAAACATTTTAGGAGTCTATAGTGTCACCCTTGGCCATGTCAAGTTATTTTAGTATTACTCATGTTATTTTAGTATATAGCCTACTCTTACATAGAATTATATACTATTATACTAGATAATTGAGCTTCACAAATTAGAAAGTGGCTTTAAGAAAAGAGCTAGAGCAGTGAAAATTCCCATTTCCACCATCAGGGCAATAATTAAGAATTTCCAATCAACAGAAAATGTTATGAATCTGCCTGAAAGAGGACTATATTGTGTGTCTATATCGTCCTAATGCACGGTGAGGAGGAGAGTTTGAGTGGCTAAAGACTCTTCAAGGATCACAGCTGGAGAATTGCAGAAAATAGTTGAGTCTCAGGGTCAGAAAACCTTAAAAAAAAAAAAATCAAACAGCACCTACATCACATGTTGTTTGGGAGGGTTTCAAGAAAATTTTCCTAGCTCATCCAAAAACAAACTCCAGCATATTCAACAATCCCCAGCATATTCTGTTGTCAGACACGACTGGAACTTCAAATGGGACTGGCTTCTATGGTCAGATGTAACTAAAAAATTTGCTTTTTTAGCAGCAAACAATCAAGATGGGTTTGGTGAACACAGAGACAAAAAGTACCCCATGTGTACAATGAAATATACTGCTGTATTTTTAATGTTGTGGGCCTATATTTCTGCTGGAGGTCCTGGACATCTTGTTTAGATACATGGCATCTTTGATTCCATCAAATACCAACAGATAAAAAATCAAAAAGTGACTGACTCTGTTAGAAATCTTATAATGGGCCATGTTTGGATCTTCCAACCGGACAATAATCCAAAAACAAACCTTAAAAACAACACAAAAATGGGTCACTGAGCACAAAACCAAGCTTCTGCTCTGGCCATTCCAGTCTGAGCTGAACCCTATAGAAGATAGATGAGTGGTGAACTGAAGAGGAGAAGCTGGGGATCTGAAGGGTCTGGAGAGATTCTGGATGAAGGAATGCTCTCTGATCTCTTGTCAGGTGCTCTCTAACCTCATCAGGCATTATAGGAGAAAACTCAGAGCTGTTATTATGCCAAATGGAGGTTTCAAAAAGCATTGAATAAAAGGGTGCTGTTAATTGTGTCCAATGTGTATTAGAGAAAAACATTTATGTCATAACGATATTTCCCCCCATTTTAAATTCTTATTCTCCATTAACAATTTATTAACAATGCAGATTTATTTTCACAGCCTTCTTTGATCATATTTACCAAGGGTGCCAATAATTCTGACCACGACTGTATATGTGTGTGTGTGTGTGTGTGTGTGTGTGTGTTTTCATATGAATTATAGCTTAAGTCATTTTGTTACGCTTTTGTCATTTCTATTAGTTTTATTTATATTTAAATATTTTTACTTAGATTTAATTTATTTTTAATTTATTTTTATTTCAGTTTTAATTTTAGTAATTTTAGCACTTCACCTTAAACACGTTTTATTTTAGGTAGTTGCTAATGAAACATTAGTAATTTTTTCATCTATTTTTATTTAATTTTATTTCAGCTGTTTGCAACCCATTTTACATCGTAATGTAACGTAATTTAACATATTTCCAAGTGAAATACGATATATAATAAGGAGGCTTGGTGCATTTGCTGCAAAAATGGGGAAAGTTGTGTTACATTTTGCATTACATTTTTATTAAAAATGAACATTTTTTCATTCTAAATAACTACATATTAATGATGTACTGTTCCCCAACAAGACAAGAAATGTCTATTATGACTATAAACTGGGTCTATTTGGATTTCATGTTGATTTAAATGGATAGTACACCCAAAAATGAAACTTCATCACTCATGCTCATGTTGTTCCACACTTGTATAACGTTCTTTCTTTTGTGGAACATAAAAGAAGATATTCTGAAGAATGTTGGTAATCAAACAGTTTTAATTTGTTCCATTTGACTTAAGATTGACCACTGTATGGACAAAAAGTCAATGGGAACCGAAACGGTTTGGTTACCCACATTCTTCAAAATATCTTCTTTTGTGTTTCATAGAAAAATAAACTCATACAGGCTTGAGGGTGAATAAATGATGACAAAATTTTCATTTTTGGGTGGACTATCCCTTTAAGTAAGCTTTTCTAGCAAGACATCCTAATGACGTTTCAACACAGATATTAAGAAGCCCTTCCCCCTTTCCAGTCTCTCGCATACATACACAGAGGATGTGTGTGAAATTCCTCTCCTGTGTTTAGTAATCCAAGCTGTCCCCGAGTGGAGCCATCACCTCCACAAAACAACCCCCCAATTCCAAAGAGACAATGCTGCATCTGGCTTTCAGAGAGCCTCGGGCTGCCTCATTCCCCAGCATGCATCCCTCCTGAATCCCCTCACCCAACCCTGCTGCCTTCAGCTTCAAGCTCCTAATTGCAGGACCACACTGCCTCGAAGCAGTGCCGAAACACACCCATAAACAAGATTGTTTAAAGATGTTATAGTACCAAAAGAGGAATTAGGACCCCACAATGAAGGGGTCTAATTACTTGAGATGGTACTACATCAATACTATTATTATTATATACAGTATACTACTTTTCTGTAATTGTATTGTAATTGTATTATACTATTACAATACCATTACAGTACTATCAACTATCAGTACTATCAACATTATTACAGAATTTTTTTCTTCATAACGTCTTGATAATGTATATTTTATATTATATATAAACTAAGTTTAGAATAATTAAGCTTTTGAAAGAATTGTCACATGATCCTTCAGAAATCATTATAATGTGCTAATTTGGTGCTCACTTATTAATAATGGTTCATATTATTATCAGCATTAAAAACTGCTTTTTGCTGCTTGATATTTTTTGAAAACCATAATATCATTTTCTTTCAGGATTCTTTGATGAATAGAAAGTTCAAAAGAACAGAATTTTTTTCTAACATTATAAATGTCTTTACTGTCACTTTTGATCAATTTAATGCATCCTTGCCTATCAAAAGAATTCATTTTAACATTTTATACCAAGTTTTTAAATAGTGGTGAATCACAGTTTCCTCAAAAATTGTAAGCATAAATATTAAGTTTTCAACATTACTTAACAATAATTCACACTATTACTGTTTTACTGTATTTTTGATCAAATAAATGCAGCCTTGGCAGCCTTTAAAAACATTAAAGAATCCTAATCATTCCAAACTTTTGGCCTGTTTATTTTGATTAATTTCTTTCCTTTTTTATTTTTATTATTCTATTGTACAATTCCTTCTATCTTTTATCTCATAACTTGTTTTGTGCATGATTCTTTGGCAATACTGTATGTAAATAGAATTGTGCCAATAAAGTACTTTAAATGAAAAAATAAATGTAATATTTAAAACTGAATCGGTACTATGTGTCCTCCATTCATGGAGTATCACCTCCATAAGCTCCTATTTCTTCAATCCATGAGACGTCTGCAGACAGACAGACATGTGTTGGACTGCAGGAGACACAAGACTAGATAAAGTGGTTTAAATCCCAAAGGCAAACATAAGATATCATCTAGAGATTTCACCATTTAGACCCTCTGAGCTTCAGCAAACTCTCTGTGGAGAGACGTAGTAAATCAACTCAAGGATGTGCTTTCTTCAAACAAGCCCTTTGGCCTAAAGCTCTTCTATTGCAATCAAGTCAAATTTAGTAAGCAAACATTGCTTAAGATAGTAAACAGTTCTGAAAGCATGCAACTCTTTAGTCAAGAAAGATGACTGCGGTTTGACTTTCCACCCAGTAACCCTGCATGAGCCAAACAGCAGGAGGCCAATAGTATTGAGCTAATTTATCACAAGGATTAAACATCTAAATGGGGAGTATCTATTTTTATGACAGCTTGAATGCCATACTAGTATTTAGTATATTCTTTGTGACATTTAGCTTTGACTGTGATGATATACAGTATATTGTAGCATGTAATACTGTATATACTGTACACTCTAAAAAATGCTGGGTTAAATATAACCCAGCGCTGCAAACTCTCTGTGGAGAGACGTAGTAAATCAACTCAAGGATGTGCTTTCTTCAAACAAGCCCTTTGGCCTAAAGCTCTTCTATTGCAATCAAGTCAAATTTAGTAAGCAAACATTGCTTAAGATAGTAAACAGTTCTGAAAGCATGCAACTCTTTAGTCAAGAAAGATGACTGCGGTTTGACTTTCCACCCAGTAACCCTGCATGAGCCAAACAGCAGGAGGCCAATAGTATTGAGCTAATTTATCACAAGGATTAAACATCTAAATGGGGAGTATCTATTTTTATGACAGCTTGAATGCCATACTAGTATTTAGTATATTCTTTGTGACATTTAGCTTTGACTGTGATGATATACAGTATATTGTAGCATGTAATACTGTATATACTGTACACTCTAAAAAATGCTGGGTTAAATATAACCCAGCGCTGGGTTAAAAAGGGACAAACCCAGCATTTTTTAGAGTGTAATAGTGGCTTTTATTATTTGCATTTAGCATTGTTCTTTCTCTGAAAGTCTATCAGAACATCCACCAGTTGTGAGCCAGTGCCATAGAGTAAATTCCTGACAGATAGAGGGAAATTCCTGATAATATTTACTCTGAGAATACAAACATGAACATGGCCTTATGCAACCCAAACAAGAGAAGAAATGCTGCTTCCGGAACCAATGCATAACAAATGATAATACTTTATGAGCAATGCAGCTGTTTCTGCTCAGCTGTCTGGATGAGAGATCCGAATGTGCGCTAGAGGCTTGAAGAATGACCCATTCATTAATGCCCATTAGAATACACCAAAAACATCAGAATTCAGTTCCATCTCAGCTGAAATCACTCCACTTACACACCAACAACTGTAGACCCCTGTAACATCGCTGAACTAATAAACTTAAGTATTCTTTTGTGAAAATATGGTCTGAATGTGACCTTATAAACAACATAAAACGGGCTTTTGTACCTATAGATATTTGACAGCACATACATGACTGTCTGGGATTTTTTTAATGATATTTTTGAAACATTAAGCTCTTATGCTCACAAAGGCTGCATTTATTTAATCAAACATATAGTAAAAAAGCAGTACTGTAAAATATTGCTAGAATTCAAAATTTAGTGTTTTTTTTAAGATTCTTTAATGAATAGAAAGCTCAAAAGAACAGCATGTAATTGAAATAGAAATCTTTCTAACATTTCAAATGTCTTTACTGTCACTTTTTATGATTTAACGTGTCCCTGCTGAATAAAAAAAGTATTAATTTCTTTAAAAAAAAAAAATTCTTGCTGGCCTCAGACGTCTATGCACTAGTGTTCACTTCACAATTTACCATCAGATTTTGTGTCTAATATTATAAAGCAACTCCAACTGGTGGATCATGACTCATAACAGATTGCAGGGCTATTCTGATGGACATTAGATAAAATCAGTGCTAAATGCAAATAAAATGCAACGTATAATTATGTATAATTGGCATAGCAATTAAACTAGGATTGCCATTTAAAAAAAAAAAATAACTAAAAACTATTTTGATTTACTTTGTTATATTTTACTTATTATTAAATATAATCTTTATTTTATTATATTAATAGACAATATTAATAGAAATACATTTTTGATTTTAGGGCATTTTTGTTTGCACTTGTACAATAAACAATTCAGGTAATGTGCTTGATGTCTTAACAACACTGAATGAAAACCCTATATTGATTGGATTCAAAAAGCCTATCAGACCCCTGAGAAATACTGTGGCTTTAATCATCTAAAACCTTCCCAAGCATTTCTGTGGTATGTGAGGTGTTGAGAAGACCTAATCACTGTGGTGACATGGACAATTAGGAGCAATTCAATCCCACCAGTTGTTCCTGTGAACGGCAGGTAAAATTAAAAGCTCTGGGATAGATTAGCAGGTAAGTGGGAGACGCTATTGTACGTTCTGACACCCTCTAGGCCTGAGATTAGGACAGACCACAGATGGCCAGCTTTGATAACCCCAGCCTAAAAGGATCTCGGGGAAAGCCAGACCTCCAGGGTCACATTTTAGTACCGCTCTAAGCAGTTATCTTACCCGATTGGATGGTCTAGAGCTGTGGGTGACCTCCTCATAAGCGGACACATTCTCCCAGGTGGCGATAAAGGCATGGGTTGGGGTGAACGTGGTATCTGGAAAGCCTCTCTTGACATCCGCTTCCGCCCGCTTCAGCACGGTAGGAGACTCCGTCTGCCGGTAGAAGATGGATCCTTTTCCTTTGCTGGTGTCAATGTCAGCCAGGAAGGGGGCGATGACAGGGAAGTCGGTGGGGAAGCCGTCATCTACATACTGCTTCTCCATGGGAAGATCCTGAGTTGAGATGATTCCATTGGTGGCCACCTGCAACGAGACACAAAACAGAACGAGAAATGTCTATAATGATCTAATTTTGGGGTCAAATTCTTAGAATTAGTATAGAATAAAACCAGAGCTACAATAAGCTCGTTTAAGTTTTTTTGACCACCCTGAATTTAGTTCATGATAAAAGAACTCTTACATTAAAATTTTTAAAGAAAACTTTTAAACTATGAAAATAAAAAAATAAGAAGGAATGACAGACATTCGTACATTCTTAACACAAGTTATACAGACATTAAATACACATTTAATTTCATACAACAAAACACTGAAATTTGTTTACAGTTTTATTCATTTTCCCAGAGGAATATGAGATTTCTTAAGGCAAATAAAGGCAAAGCAGCAACAACAACAAAACCTTATTAGACGTTTGATGTACTCACATATAAGTTATTGAAGGACGCCTCATAGAAGTACATGGCTTTGGTGAGCGTGATCACTTTAGAGGTCTCATCGTCGCCTTCTTGCAGAGTAACATCGCCGTAAAACATCCCATATGGATAGATGTCATGTCTGTGAATGGCTGTGGCATGCTGAACTGTCCATGAAAGTTGTAAAAAGAAGACTGCTATTTTGTGCCAGGTCATTTTAATGAACAGTTGGTACACATGCAGCTTGTATTCATACGGCACACTCAGTTTAAATGAGTTGATGTTTGGCTTGAAGCTGGGAAGTTTGTGATCCAGGCATTGAACAGGAGGGACTGTGGGAGGACACGCGGACGTTGATTGGCTGACGGGTGACACACGGGACACCATCTGCATTTCATTACATTTATAAAAGTAGAGGCTTTGGGATGGAAAGATGTCTTAATTTATTTAATGGCTACATTTATTAGGAATTCTATTTAATGAATGCCTTCTTATATAATTCTTATAAAATATATAAATACATTTTCGTGCGTTATATAATTTATATTATATGTCAAATATATAATCAAATGTATGTTATATTATTTTTAAGTTTTATTTGATAGAAACGTAGCTATAAAATATCCTTTAATAATCACTTTTCCTGTTTTACCTGACAGTTTGCTGAGTATAGCTTTAAGATTGCTTTAGACTAATCCAATTATTTCTATTCTACTACTATTTTAGATCGTCTTTAATCAATTTAAGACGTGTAAATACTGGATAACAAATGGATGAGTGTCACGAATCACTTCTGAGGCTCATCAAAGACTCGATGACCGTGAATATTCACACTGCTCGTTTTTAGTTCAATTACTAGCAAAAAAAAAAAAAAGATGCATAAAAGATAATGATAAAAAAAAGTTAAATTACTAGCCTATTATGTTCGCATTTGCATTGTGAATACTGCACAATAGGCCTACATACTTTCTTTCCTTTGTGTATGAGGCATATATTGTGTAAATGATTTATTATTTTTGACACATATACACAAACTGTATATATATTTCATATTTTCGTTTATTTCGTGGTTGTTCATTCATCTTGAAAACTACTATCTCTTTCTTGTTTGTGGTGCCATCTAGTGACCATTCCTATATGAATACTAGACACTGTTGGAATAGGGACATCGAATCTGGAAATTGGGTAACTAACTAAACTAACTAACGTTTGGAGGCCTATGGCACAAATCATAAAGTCCAGAACAAGAGGATGAGTCTGGTTTCAGCTAGACTATATAAAACAATATAAAACAACTCTTTCTGAGTTGTGCCCTGGCTTAAACTTTTCTCTTATAACAAATTCTTCTGTAAACAATGCATGCAAATTAAGCATTTAATCAGTGTAACTGAATCTGATCTTGAGTGAAGAGAAATGATCACGCATTGGAAACGTACTGTAGAGCACAGGTCAGAGTTTGTAGCCTAAGTCAGACTCAGAACAAAGTTAATGCAACCATTGAAATGTTGAAAAATGTTTTTATTTATTTATTTATTTTTGGTAAGTCAGTCTTTAAACCAAGAGTAAAAAATAAATAAATGTAAACATTTAAATAAATAAAAAATTAGAACAATAACTTACATTTTATTTCTGAAAGATTTGCTTTGTAAATATTTCATGCTTACTAATTGAAATAATGAATTAGCCTAATACATGCACAAATAAATTAAAACAGTATCCAAAGACACTTGTTTAACTACTAACAAAAGATGTTTAGTGTCCAACAGGGCAAAGGGCGCCTAAGGGTGAAAGGCCATTTAGATTGAATCTTCTCTCGGATCACTGAATAACAACAAGCACCACCGCAGCACTTTCCTAAACACTTGTTTGTCAAACAGTTCAAGCAATGACAAAAGATCAAATTTGAGGTCATTTGATTTAATACCCAATAATGTTCAAAAGTTTGGGCTGGCAAGATTTAGCCTACTTGATCAAAAATACAGCAAAAATGGTAATATTGTAACATCATTACAATTACAAACAACTCTTTTCTATTTTAATATGCCATACAAAATATGCTTGTGATAACAAACCTGAATTTTCAGCAGCCATTACTCTAGTCTTCAGTGTCACATGATCCTTTGCTGATTTGGTGCTCAAAAAAACATTTCTTCTTATTATAAGAAAACAGTTTAATTTTTTTTTCTTCAGGATTTAGGAAGGTCAGAAGAACAGCATGTATTTGAAAAAAGAAATCTTTTGTAACATAAATGTATTTACTGTCATTTGTGATCAATTTAATGCATGCATGTTGAATTAAAGTCAAAAAATATATAGATCAGTACCTTTTGACATATAAAGATGAAAACAAATAACACCAAACCTAACTCGTATTAACGGCCGTATAGCTGAATTAGTTTGTAATGGTGTAAAAGTGTTCAGTTTTTTTGTGTTGCAAACAGTGTTGGGGAAAGTTACTTTTAAAAGTAATGCATTACAATATTGCGTTACTCCATAAAAAAAGTAACTAATTACGTTACTTAGTTACTTTTTATGGAAAGTAATGCATTACGTTACTTTTGCATTACTTTTTAAATCTGGACAGGGCTTGCTTGTTTGTTTTTAAAATAAAAAAGTTATATTTTTGGCAAATATAAAAGCCTTTTCACACCAAAAGTGAAATGAATAAGCCTCAGGCTGAAGGGAAAGTAAATTTACGTCCATACAGTAGAATACAGAAGAAGAAATTTCAACACACTTCAGCAATAAAAAAAAGACACACAAATGTTTGTCTAGAGTAATTTTTGCTTATTAGTATGGTTGAACTGGATCATCGAAGGTCAGAAGCAAAGACATTGGTTAATAGAATGGGATTAAATACATAAAGGATATTTGTGTTGTTTAACATTTAATTATTGCAGGTTTGTGTCATATTCTAAGTTGCATTATTTTTATTCATTTTGAGGAATACTAAATCTGTGTTGTTGTTTTTTTTGCGATTGAGATGAATTAATGCATATTCATATTTATTTTAGAAATACAGTAACATCTGATTTCTCTCAACATGGGGACGGGAGAGCTGTCAATCAATAAATTGAAAAAAAAAGTAACTTGCGTTACTTATTTGAAAAAGTAACTCAGATATTCTCTTGTAAATTAAAAAGTAATGCATTACTTTACTAGTTACTTGAAAAAAGTAATCTGATTATGTAACTCGCGTTACTTGTAATGCGTTACCCCCAACACTGGTTGCAAATAAAACTTTTGTTATCACTCCTCTACTGCTCAAATGTATTTGTTTTAAGTGACTTGTCTGGTTCATTTATTCATCCTATAATCATAAATTGTACAAAAAGGCTTCCCTGTTTTATGGTTTTGTTAGTGGACGTGTCTTTTGTCTGCTTAACATACCTGGAATTTGATCGTGTCCTGATGTTCCTGTGATGTTCCTCGATTTCAGTGAATCTGATCCAGACGTTTCAAGTTTCACGACATGTTCATAACCATGTTTGGCCTGTCAGTGTGAGCATAACAAGCTATTTGTGTTGTAACCGTTTGGCAACATTCAGTGTATTTACATATGCTTATTAACAGCAGACAATATGGTGCAGGAGGAGAGCTCTACAAATACAGCCATCACTGCAGCAGGCCTAACAGAAGCTTCACAATCAAGGAAAAAAGTGTTACTTGGGTGGAAATATGCCTACATAGTTAATAATATGAACAAAACGTTAAAAACAACACAGCAGTATATAGAAGAAAATGTTATTGTAAATGTGTAAATGCTGTTTTATCAAATCATAAAACATTGCACAGAAAGGACCAGGAAGCCCTAAAATAAAAAAAATTAAAAAAAAGCACAAAATTCAAGACGCGTAGCAGCATGTTGTTAGCTCAGATAAGTACATGCCCAACCTTAAAGCCATGGAAAATTCTAGCATCTTTCAGCATTCACAAACTGTTATAGCAAGAGGAAGTAGGCTTAATTATGTAAATGTAAAGAAAAGATGACCGCAGAAATGATAGCGGAAAAGATGCCAACTGAGCTGTTGGGGATGAAGATAAACTTTCATGGGCCATTTTCAAAAGGTCCTGAAATATAAATCATTCTAATATGCTGATATGGTGCTTAAGAAACATTTCTTATGATTAACAATGTTGAAAACAGCTGTGCTGCTAATATTTGTATGGAAAACACTAACTTTTAAGATTCTTTATTATTATTATTTCTTTAAAAAAAAAAGTTATTTGATGAGAACTCGAGCACAAAATGTTGGACAACAGATACGTTTATTTGATTATTTATTAATTATTTAGTTATTGGTCATTTCAAGGATAGTGGTCATTGTTTAATCAGAGGCCATTTTATAGCTCATTCTTTCATAAAGGCAAATTTTATTACTTATATCACATGTAAACTTTAAGAGACTCATTCAAGATAATTTTTAGTATTATAATAGCTATTTTAATAATATTATTTGTACACACAGCAGCACAGAGCACTTTGGGACCCCAAACAGTCAGGAAATAAAGTCTCAACGGCACATGAGGTTTTAAGGAAGCTCGAATTTCTCATTGCTGTGTCTGGATCAGTGTGTGTGTGTGTGTGTGTGTGTGGAGGGTGGGGTCAAGACAATGACGTTGTTTCACCAGTCAACGGCTCACTCAGCTGAGGAACTCATGGCTCACACTACATTCTCCCACTGCCTCTTTGCCTTCGAGAGCATGGGGCAGGCAAAGAGGCAAGTCTGTCTGACTCCAGAGGCACTGAAATACTTGTATGGATCTGTTTTTTGGAGCACACCATGCTTACATTGATGAGCTCCATTCCTTTACCCTGGTGAACCATTCTAGACAAGAAACACGGACTAACTAAATGCAGTTTTTCTAATGTAGAGTTTGCTTTCAATCATGCCAACCTAAGCTAGTTCAAAGAAGCTTGGAGAACTTTGAGAAGAAGTTCCAAGAAGATCTACAACAGGAGTTTCAGCACATCTCTGGCAGTAATGGGCACAGAAAAACAAAACTGTACTGAAAGTCTGAGCGTGGAGCAGAACGGTGGCCCGGCCATCAGCGCGATGATGTTCGCAGCTGGAGTTCTCGGGAACCTGGTTGCGTTGGTTCTCCTGGAGTTCCGCAGGAGGAAAGAGAAGAACCGGCAGCGACAGTCTCTGTTCCATTTGCTGGTGACCACGCTGGTCATTACGGATCTAATGGGAACCTGCTTGATCAGTCCCCTGGTGCAGACTGCATACTTAACCAACACCACACTGGTTGGGCTGAGCGAGACTCGTGCGGTGTGTGAATATTTCGGATTTGCCATGACTTTCTTCAGTCTGGCGACGCTCTCCATCCTCCTCGCCATGGCACTGGAGAGGTGCCTTTCCATCGGGTACCCATACCACTACGGGAGGCACGTCACCAAACGCTGCGGATACATCACCATCCCTTGCATTTATCTAGTCTGCTTTTTATTTTGCTTAATGCCGTTTGCAGGCTTTGGGAAGTATGTGCAATACTGTCCCGGGACGTGGTGTTTTATTGCCATGAATCCAGAGGGGACTGAGGACCGGGCGTATGCCAACGTTTATGCCACTGTGATGCTGCTCATTGTTACAGTTATAGTGGCATGCAACTGTTTTGTAGTTTACCATCTGGTGTTAATGTACCGGAGGCGCAAAATGAACCGAGGATCAGTGCAGACCCGGAGTAAAAGGGACAGGAGGTACTTCTCATGGGCAGAGGAGGTGGAACATCTCATTCTCCTGGTCTTCATGACAGTCATATTTGTCATTTGTTCCCTGCCATTAATGGTAAGACTTACGGTGTATTATTAGGATGAAGAAAAGTGATTTATAGGAAATTCACTAAAATATGGACAAGTCCATGATGCATTTATTGAACCTTGCTAAATGCAATTTCTTAAAAAAAATTAAAAACATATTGTTGTTAAAAAAAATATTATATAAAAAGGGTTAAAAGATAAAAAACAGATGTTAATATAGATATTAGACATCATTTAACTGCAATAAATTACACTAGAATTATATTTTTTATTTATATATTTATGACCCTGGACCACAAAACCAGTCATAAGGGTCAATTTGAGATTTATACCTCATCTGAAAGCTGAATAAATAAGCTTTTTATTGATTTATGGATATGTTTTAGGATAGGACAATATTTGGCTGAGATGCAACTATTTGAAAATCTTAGAATGCAAAAAAAGCAATAAATTACTAAAATCGCCTTTAAAGTTGTCCAGATTAAGTCCTTAGCAATGCATATTACTAATCAAAAATTAAGTTTTGATATATTTATGGTAGGAAATTTACAAAATATCTTCATGGAACATGATCTTTACTTAATATCCTAATGATTTTTGGCATAAAAGAAAAATCAATAATTTTGAGAGCTATTGCTACAAATACACCTGTGCTACTAAAGTCTGGTTTTGTGCTCCAGGGTCACATTTGTAGCTGAAGAATATTTTTTTAACTCAAGAATTTTTCTAAAATACAACTATTGTTTATTTTATCATTTGTTTCTTTTGATTTGAAGTTTTAGAAAAAAGATATTAAACTGCTTGCACTGTTTGCTGTTTGAGCCTGTTAAAAGAAGAAGATGTACAACCAGCTGGACAAAGTAAATCAAAAGCAGACAACATCATGGATGCTTGCATATTATAGTTCATGTCACTGGGCATGGGGATGTTATGGTTTCTAAGTAACCACATATTTAGTTCATTGTCAGAGAGGAATGGTGATAAAAATGAAGAGGTTTTGACCCGTCTTGGAGAAGCTGGTATTCATGATACCAAATGCCAGAGAACTTTATCAGTGCATGAAAGCTTTTGGCATTTTGAAAAAGACACTACAGCTCACTGAGATCTTGTGTTTCTATGGAACAAATCCAAGATCTTGGTGGCACATAACATGCTTCCATAATCATTTCATCTCCCCCAAAGCTTCTGTACCAACAATAACTTCCAGTGTGAGGTTTAGATAGCTGCAGTGTATTTTTCTTGGAGTGTATTACATCTTGTGAAAATCAGTTATTCTGGTTGTCACACACAAACACTCTTGGCGCAGGCAGACTGATATTGTTTTATATAGTCTAGCTGAAACCAGACTCAAACACCCCTCACTCACCCTTCAGTGATCTGGAATAATGCTACCCACGTTAATTATTTACAAATGATAATTAACAGTAGGTGAAAGGATATTAAAGGATTACAGTTGCTCCTTACGACTCCGAGCTCATTGCAAACGTATTGCTGATTCACTGGTTTGAATTGAGTTTATCAAGGACAACTGAATTTCAGCATAAATTACAACAAGTAATATAATTTCACATCCCAGCAGCCCTCTGACTAAATTTGTGGGACGGGATAGTAGGTAAATGCAATGATGTACGGCTCCAGTCTGATCAAAAGGTTACGCATAATCAAAATCGTCAGATTTCATAATAATACTCACTTCCTTAAGATTTGATGCTATGTGAGAACTAATATGAGACTTTTCTTGACAAAACTGAAATGATTAGTATTTTTTAAAATGTATATTTGCACTGATTAAAAATAATAATAAAAATCTTTCAGTATCAGTGTTTAGAAAAAGTTGAAACTTTTTGACTAACTTTCGGTGGTCTCTGCATGTTAAAATCAGATAGGAGAAAATATTTGAACATGGAAAGAAATGATCACACATTAGCTTTAAGATTCCAGTTTGATGAAATGCAGTGCATGAGAATTTCGTAATAATTTCATCATACTTCATGGTCTGCAAAAATAGTTTTCCTGACCAAATAAAACTATAAGTCAAAATATAACTTCTTAAGTATATCTGCACTTTTGTTTGATAGAGGAATAGAACAAAACAAAGGCTTTTGTCATAATAGACTATGAGCAGAGGTAAACAAACTTAGGAAAAGAGGAAAATAATATGAATCATTTCTGCTCTCTTATGTGTCTGTTATTTTTATGATTATAAACTGAGAAATGATCTAAAGTTTTTAAAATGACCTTATGACTCATTGATGGGAAGTCCAAGATGAAGACATCTAGAAAGTGGATTATATATATTTCTGCTTCCATGGTTGACAGAAAGCACAAACCCAGACTTTGTCAGACTGTGCCGTGGTTACGTTTGTTTATGTTTTTGAGTTGTTCAATGCACACCCAAAATCATATGTGCCCACATAATTGTCTCATTCAGTTATAGCTGAAATCTTAGTAAAAGCAAAAGCTCCTTAAATTGGAATCAGTGGAGAAAACGACTGATAAGTCTCTTGCTTTTTAAAGTCTTATCTGTAATTTTAGAGTAATAACTCGCTGATGAGAAGTAATGCTATTTGTGCACATTATCTTGTGTGTGAGATGAAACACATCCATGCTGTCATTAATACTGATAAATAAATGAGCACTGAGTCTTATAGAAGCATGTCAACAACTATAATGGTTTCTCACTTATCCGATTAGATATGATTTGTAGGATGTGGAAAAGGACATGAATTATTAAAATCATAAATGCAAAACTATACTTTGGACCAGACAGTGTATACAGAGGCTCCAGATATCTCACCACAATGCTTTCATTACAGTTAGTGCTAGCAGCTGTTACACATGATGATTTTACATGCTGCATCCATCCATCCATCCATCATCTATCCATCCATCCACCCACCCACCCACCCTCCACCTATCTAT